GTGTGTGTGTGTGTGTGTGTGTGTGTGTGTGTGTGTGTGTGTGTGTGTGATCAGGAAGCGCCCGCATGCAGCAGCCAGAGGTGCGGCGCGGCAACCGGAGGAGGACAAAAGCTAGGATCCACACCTGGAAGGGAGCCAGCAGGCAGGGGTCAGCGCGGTGACAGGGGTTTGGAAAAGTTCCCAGAACCAAGACAAACGTTTGCTCGGCAATCGTGGTCTTTCTCAAAGAGGCAGCGCACCACACATCCAAAACACCCAGAGTCACGAGGAATCGTTTTTTTTGCCCACATGAGGGGCCGAAAAAGGCCCCATCCGGCGTCACGCTGTCAGTTCGGGTCACAATTAAGGCCGAGGCAAACCACCGGCGATCAGCGGCTGCTTCCAGAGATGCTGAGAGTTTCCAAACCCCAGGATATCATGGCTGGATCAGATTTAGAGTTAGAAAAATCAAGCTTGATGTGCGATATGATGTTACTTCCCTCACTAAAATGCGATTTTATAGCCGAGCTGTAGCTGTGCCACAAAGCACTAAGCTGTGACTATGAGGAAAAAAGGTAAACTAAAGCCAAAAATTGGGCCAATTCAAGGGTCCCTCTTCCTCCCTCTCTGCTGTGCTTCAGCTCAATTGTTTTGATTAGTGGTCTTTTCCTCTTGGGTCATAATAGTTGGTTTGCCTGTTGGCAGATTTGTGCAAATCCTCTGAGAAATGTGGGAAAGAGCCAGGGGTCTGTAATCAAAAGTCTGGAGACACCTGCCCATTCATTTTTGAACAAGTGGTTTGTTGTGACTTTTGATTGGTTTTGCACGTAGAAAACATTTCTCATATATCATATTTTCAGCTCTACAAGAAAAAAAAAGCAGTATTCTAATCTGCTTTCCACATATGGAGGAGGGAATTTGAGACACTGATAAAGAGAGTAAAGAAAGGGAGTAAAGAAACGAGTGGTTCTCTTTTTTCCTTTTTGCACTATAATCTCAGTGTTTTTTTAGTTTAGAGTCTGGTCAAATGGAGAAATATTAGAAACCAGCTGACTTTAAGTAACTATTGGACAAATATAACTGTTTAAAAAGCTTTGCTCGTCAACACTGCCCTCTGGTGGACACCCTCCTCACTTACAGATGAATGTGACAGACATGGAATAAACAGAGGAAGCATTAACACAGAGAGCATCACAGGGTTTAAAAAACAAGTCATCTGTTTAGTTTTAAATAAAAGTGATATGATCATTCTGTGGTTGCTATGGTTGCTATGGTGTCAGTGGTTCCCCGGTAACCGCTGTGACCATTCTGGCAGGGTTTGCAGAGAATGGAGGTGAATGCCTCCGCCTTAAACAAACACTTTACACCTGAATGTAAACTTCTGAGATGTTTCTGTCTTCTCACTAAACACAGATCATCCAAGGCTATCTCCAGAGGCGAGGAGTGAAGAGGAGCCGGGATGTTTGCCAACTCCAGCTCCCCTCAAAGTAAGAAAAAGCTGCTGCTTAGATACAGAAATCCAGCATGTGATGCGAGAAGTTTCACACACAGGGAGCCAAATCAAAGGGAAAATTAATAATTTCTTCCCTTTTGCTGCATAGAAAACTCACCAGTGTCCCTGATGTGTCAAGATTTGCCTTTCTGAGACAGCTGTGGCTGAACAATAACAAGGTAACCTGCCTTTAAACGCCCTGCAGGGTGAATGTGGAAAGAGAGGATCGCATCAAAGCGAGAAAATCTGCTAAATGATAAAGACTAAAGTTACATAGTAAAATTAAACAAAGACAATCACAAATGTGACAAGATAAAAATGAGTGACAAAAGAAAAAAATTAAATTAGAAAAAAATAACATTCTCATGTTTTATCTTACCTTTTTCATATTTGTCAACGTAAAAAAAAAATCAGTTATGCATCTTTATATACATATTATTTTTCATTATAATTATTTAATTAAGACACTTTTATCCTTTTTCCCATTTGCTTTGTGTTCGGTTTTTTCCTCCCTAGATTTAGCTAAAAACCCATCAAATCTCATGCAGTACACATTAGATCTGTGACCTAAACAGAGATGGTCACAAACTTAGAACTAATGACTGAGGATTCTGACACTTGTTGCTTATTTCGTCTGAAATGTGTTCATTTCTTTTAAAACTAAAAAGAAAAAGGAAATATTTGCTGAATATGATCGACCTCAATGAAAGATATTAAAGAAAGAAAGCAACAGAAAAAAAATTGCTATGTAAATTCACAATCATTGATTGTTTCCACATTTATTTATCTATTTTGTTTGTATTTTCCTGATCCATTTCCCTGTTCTTTTATAGTTGAGCTCTTTTTTCTGGCATTCCTCTGCTTTGACATGTCAGACACACTTCTACAGCAACACTTTGTGTTTGAAATGAGTGGAATGTGGATTAATTTCTGCTCTACTTCCAGATCCGAGAGCTCAACTGTGGTTCGCTCAACTGCTGCTTGACTGAACTTTACCTTCACCACAACGGCATCAAGTCTGTGAAAGGTCCGGCTTTACTTCTCCTTCATGTAAACATGCGATTTCAGCGATGAGTACTCCTCTCTCTAACAATCTTTAGTCATCTACTAAAAGGTCTACATTACTGGATATGGAGTAATGGAGGAAATTCTTATTTCATAATGGCTTTTTAAAAGCAGAAAACACCTAAAAACGGACTGAAATCCAAGGAATCATCAAAACCTATAATTTCAGAGAACTAAAACAGAGAACACAAACACAATTCCCAACATGAATTTTGCTATTGTTGCTAAATATGTCTAATACTTTGGACTTCTTTTGGACTACATGGTATTATGGTGGTTTGGACGATAGTTCCTGGTTCAAATCCCAGCGGGAGGCCCGTCTGTGTGGTGTAAAAATATGTGTGTGTTCTCTCTTTGTGCACCGTATTTGTTTGACCATAAACACGCAAGAAGGGTTGAGCTGTTTTTCTAAATTGGTGTGGTTATTAGTTTCTCTCTGGACCTGCTGTGAATAAGAAAATTGCTAATATTTTAGAATACAAACAGCCTGCTCAAGTTTGGGAACCCCTTATTTAATGCTTAAAAATGTATTTTTCTTTACACGCTTCAATGCTTTTCACTAGTTTGAGTTTTCAGACAGATGTAGTTAAGGAAAAGAGTAGTTTTTACCTTGAATATCTTGCCTCAGTAAAGACGACAGATGTCCACCTTCATTTTTCCTCTCACACAGGTGCCCTGAACCATCTGACCTGCCTCAGAGTCCTGTTTCTCCACAACAACCAGATCAGAGGCCTGCCGGAGACGATGCATGAGCTGAGGAGGATGCAGCAGCTGCGGAACGCCAGTGAGTGTCAGACCGGGAACAACAGAGCGCCCTCCAGGGATGGAGGACGCCTCTGAAAACATCCGGGGTGTGATAACATTTTACCTTTTCAATCTGCAGCTTTTTTCCTAAACCCCATTTCTCATGAACCCGGGTATCGCAGCCATGTGATCCACTGCCTGCCGTCCATCCAGATCTTAGACAGGAAAGGTACAAACGCTCAGAAAAAGAATGTTCAGGCTATACCTCTGTGTGTGTGAAATCCGGCCTATTCGCCCTTTTTCTGGTTCTTGTTGGTTGGCAGAGTTGAAACCGTCAGAGAGGAGAAGGTCCTTCCAGATTTTCAACCAGGATCGCCATCGCCTGCTCCAGTCTGTGGCCTTCGGCAGACGGATAAACGAGCCCGCCAAGAGAGACAAGAGATGAGCTCCCGGATCTGGAAGTGTGTCACTATAAACACATCAAGGCAAACTGTTACTGTGTTAGAGTCAAAATACTTTGAGTGTCCCGAAATAAGGTGCAGCTCTAAAGCAAACTGCAGCATCAGTCTTTTATCAAAGCACACAGACGTACAGCGAGTTATGTCAGTTACAGTTTGGCTGCAAAAGAAGCCTTACAAAACCCAAGATAGTCACGATTCTAACTCGATCAAACTCTTAAAAAAAATGAAAAAAGTGTTTTTTTTAAAAAAATAACTGGTCCCAAATTGATGTCATTTGATGACAAATGATCCAATTGTATGAAACAAACTAGATAAAATGCAACGTGGGCCAAAACTTAGGAAATTGGGATTCAAAATGTTCAAAAAGTGTCAAATATAGTTCGGACAAATTGTCAAATTTGATTTTCATTCATTCTCGTGACAGTCTGACCTTCTTGGGTCAGACTTAGGGTTTTACAAACAACTCATGACATTAAATCTGACTTAATAATATAATATTTTATATATATATCTACACACTCAAGCCCTCCGATGGCTAATTCTTCTATACATACATATATATGCATGTAGGTGCTGCATTTATTAGTTTTCTATGCGAGAGGCTGGAGAGCTTTTATCATCCATCCATGATTCTGCAGCATTAAATGATACTGTTGTGACTTTAACCAGCCTCATGCTGGAAAACCAAGCAGCCCGACGGCAAAAGAGGAAAAACCGACTCCAAAAACTGGTGCTGAAGCTGGTCTTTATTTAGCAGAGTTTGACTCATGTCTGTCGACACTGGAAACCACCAACACGCACAAACTGGACACGATGGCCGACGTCTGGGTCCGCTCGGGCCGTGCAGAAAACCCCACAACGCGATCGTCTTTTTGGAGGCTGACGGAAGCTTCTTCGCTGACGTCTGTTCGACCAGCCCGTTTCATTTCGCTCTGATCTTGACAAACGCCCGGAGCAGAAACGTCATCCGCGTCCGTTTTTAGCCGCCATTGACCGGCAGCCTCTGGGCGTAAAAACCTCTGGAACTCTCAGCTGTGCCCTGCCACAGGATCCATCTGGGGGACGTGAGCCGCTGGGCTCCTCACATTTCTCTCAGCTCTCCAAAAGGTGAAACGGATGCCGTGTTTACATTCACAAACGAGAAACAGCATTTGGAAATGGACGGGGAGAGGGCGGATTTCCCCTGCTGTCGCAGTCTGGGGCTGATCAGAAAAATGTGGGCTCTCCTCTCCAGTCGGGCTTCGGTCTGGGCGGCAGTTTGGTGTCCGTGTTGGATGGACGCACTGGTGGGGGAGTCGGGGGGCTCAGTTGTCGGCAGCCGGGATGGCGGCGGAGCCTGGAGGGGGGCCGTCGCTGGCGTCCCCCACTGAGAGCTCCTGTAGGGAGTCCGTGGCCTCCTGCGCAGCTTCGCTCTCCTCTGAAACGCAGAGAAGAAGTGAGACCGGGCTTTATGCCACCACAAATCCCTCAGATCACATGATAAACAAGATCACTGCCCTTTGAGTGAGACTTAAAAAAGGTAGATCAAGCTGATTAAAAGCTGCTTTAGGACCAAAACAAACAATCCACCTGGGAACGGTGGGAATGAGACAGGAAGGAACTTTCTTTTCTAATTGGATTCTAATTGAACTCCCTTGATTTGAATTAATCATGATATATTGGTTTGAAATAGATTCCAAGGAATCGTATTTACTTGGAGTAAATATGAGTTACCTTTGCTCTGCTGCAGCCTCAGTTTGGCTACCTCAGCCTCCTGCTGCTCTCGCTGTTCTTGGAGCTTCTTGCAAACCTTCTTGTGGGTGAACCAGTGCATTTTCTGGCAGGACTGGTCACAGTAGATCACCTGACCAAACAGGGCACGGGAGCAGTGTCAACCCGGGTTTGGTCCGTGCCGGCAGAGGCCGCGAATTGGAGCCGGACACTCACCGTTTTGCAGATGGAGCATCTCTTTTCGGCTCCTTTCTCACCGCAGGAGGTGCAGAACTCGGCATCCATGAAGCCCACCTGACCGGTGATGGCCTGGGTCAGCACCGACAGAGCTGTGGGGTCGTTACCCTGCAGCCGACGGGCCGGGGGACACAAAAAAAAGAGATCAGCTCTTGCACGGAAACCCAGAGCTCAACGCGTGAACGTCTCTTCTCAGTTTTTGACGATCGATATAAGTTCAGAAAAAGCTTGGAAAACCAACAAAACACCTAGAAGTTTCCCTTCTCCTCAAATCACATATCTTCAAACCCCCCCGAGTGGAGCACAGAAAGTTTCCTCAGCACGATTTACAAGTTTAATAAAGTAAAACTCACGATTTCCACCGGGGCGATGCTGCGCACCAGCTGCTGCAGCAGCGTGGCGTCGCAGTAGGGGAACTTCCTGATGCACTCCCTGATGAACTTTTCTTGGTACAAAGGGAAGCCGTCGCTGTCTCGACCCTTCAGCAAACTGAAGAAGAGACGGTTCAGGATACTAGAGAGACGCGTTGCGTGGGAAAACAAAAATATTCCCTGTAACGATTACTCATATCTGAGTCGCTTTCCACCTTTTTAGGAGCCCTTCCAGTTTGTCCTCCCGGTCCTTGAGGAAGGAGGCGCACTTCCCCAGCAGGCAGCTGATGTAGTGCATCTTCACGGCCAAAACTTCGTTCATGTCCTGCTGCTTGATGCACTTTTCACAGATCAGCTCCATCACTCGCCGGCATTTATCCAGAGCCTCGGTTTCTGCCAGCAGCGGGTTTTCCTTCACCAGCATCACCAGCTGGAAAAAGCAAGGACAATCCTTCCAGAGAACTGTCTTACTGAAGCCATACTATTCAGAATATACACAGGGAGAGTGAAAAGTCAGGTCAAGAGTAAAAAGTAACAGGACAGGGTACGTTTGATATCAGAAACAAAATGGAAAATGTGTTACATATACAGATATATACATGAATTGGAGAGTACTGGAGTCCGCATTTGAGTAAAACCTGTGCCAAAATAACTACAACATAGCTTCTCTGAAACCTAAGGCTTAGTCCTACCTTAACCGGGTTCAGGTTTGTGCTCATGATGACTTTGTGTAAGGGTCCGGCCAGTTTCGGTGGCAGCTTGGGCTCCTTCTCCAAACCCTGAGGCTTGGTGTAGTAGTCCAGTCGAGCACGTGAAAAGAAGTTGTTGATGACTGTGACGCAGTCGTGCTGCCCTGTGGAGGAAAATAAAGAAGGCGGGTTGTAGAAAATAGCTAGAAAATAAAAGGGATGCCACATTCCAACAAATGTGGCATCCCTTGTTGTGATCTGACAACAATGAAACACTGCGAGAGGACACGAGAGGAATCTACCTACCAACAAAGGCCGCCATCTGAGCCGCTGTCCGTCCTACAGAGTTGGTCACATCCGTTTCCGCCCCTGCGTCCAGCATCATCCACGTGATATCGGTCTTCCCTTCAGGCAAAAACGGAGTCACGACACCAGACAAAAAGATCCTTTTTTAACATGGACGGCCTCTTTTGATTCGACACAGACACGTCACATCAAAACGCACCCGAGAGGCCGGCGAACATCAGCGCCGTGTACCCGTGCTCGTGCTCGTTGCAGTTCACGTCGGCTCCGTGTTGCAGAAGCAGCTTGCACATGTCTGCTTTTCCTTTGTAGGCTGCGTGCATCAGAGGAGTCATCCCATACTGCGGAGGACAAAAAACAGCTCACATGAAGACAACAAAAGAGGGCTTGGAGTCCAACTTTAGCTCTGCCTCTGTGTGTTTTGCTTCTTTCACTATTTCTGTAAATGATTACATATATCAATTTCTCAGAATTTACAATCTAAAGGCATGGTTGCCATCCAAACAGGAAGTAATCCAGTAGATCTGAGTTTATGCCTGTTGTGTTAGAAAACCTCCATTACCTCATCCAAACAGTTTACTCGAACATCCTTACAGCCCAGGAGCCTAGAGGCTTCTTGAACGTTTCCTAAAGGGAAAAAATGAAATATTATTTTACGCATGAGGACTAAAAAAAACTTTACAGAGCTCAACTGTAACTGTCATGTGGACTTTCTTATCTTCTTGCAAGATAAGATCAACGAAATTGAATATTTTAACCATTAAAATAAACCCAAAACTGAATGAGATATCTAGCATGGTGGTTGGGAAGCAGCACAACGATCTAGGGTAACATCCAATTATTCACGTTATGTGCATCGTATCCTTCAAGCTAACCAGGGATTAGCGTTAGCCGAAGAGGCTTACCTGCTGTGATAACCTGAAACAACTCCTTTTCGCTTGAAGACAAATCTCCCTTCTTAGGAGCAGACATGTTGGTGGTTTTAAGTGACAAGCAAACCCGCAATTACACCAATGTCACACCACATTCACGGATAAATGGATGGTATTTGTGGCTCTGACAGTGTGATGCTAGGACATGAATGCTAGCTCAGGAGTTGCTGTCATAAGGAACGTACCACTCAGGTCTCATGAAAGGGGTGCCTGGTTCACAGGGAAAATCTAATTTAAAAGAAAATCCTCCGGCAAATCGAAAGAGATTATCAGATTGAAACATATAAATTATCCTTTAAAAAAAAAAACTTTAAAAAATCACAAGATACTTAATTTAAGTTAAAAAAAAAAAGAAGAAAGAAATGGACGCCTCCTATGGTCCTTCGTATAAGTAAAGTGGAGTCTGGAAAGTTCATTCATAAATACCTTGGTTTAGGTGGAGAGGCTCTAGCCAAGATCAGATGATGTACACAGGGACAAAAGCATTGTTTGCCGCAATGTTTGACTACAACAAAGTAAAGGCTCACAAGGAACCAAATAAATGACAGAAAGACTGATGGATAGATGATGGGTTGAAGTATCTCTTTAGCCATCAGCACCTTTAGGTTTTGCGGTTATCCCCATTGCTTAGCAGCACTAGTCTATCTGTTTTTAGTCCATCTGTTTGTTTTTTTAAATACCACAGAACGGACCAATTTACATCGACAGTGCAGGGCTTCTTTGCCTAAGAAGACAGAGATGGAGTGTCTGGTGTTTGCAGCAGGATAATGGAGGTCGAGTTCATTTGTGTGTATTTACATATTCTCAAATGATAAAAGGGGAGAAAGAATGAAAAAAGCAAAGGTACCAGTGAAACCTGAGTGCACCACAACAGCCACTGTGGCCGACAGAGTCCCACAGACCAGAGACTGATCATTGTTTTTTGGGGGGAATTTCTACAGAGTTTGCACAGAAAAGGTCAACATTTGCAAAAGTCCTTAACATCGGATACGTTTTAATGCCATTTCAAGAAAAAAAAAGCCTAATTTGCATATTGAAAATCACACTACCATAATCAATTTGGAATAAATGCGTTCAAGGGAAATAATTCTGCTGCTGGTCAAAAAATTATAAATTTTACAAGGATATTCTAAAGGATTATTATAAAGGATATTCTAAACACCTTCTTGCCGGTGGTCATCAATCTGTACAACGCCTCCCTCTGAGAGTCAATCTTAATCATTGACACTATCCACCTCTCATTTTGACCAACATATACACATATTGTTTCTTATGTATATATCTAGCTATATTTATGAGGAATTTTGTATATACATATGTATATATGTATAGACATGTACATATGTATATGCCTTTGTTTTGCTTATGGAGCCTGTAACAAAAATAATTTCCCTCTGGGATTATTAAAGTATTTCTGATTCTGATTCTGATTCTGATTATGATTCATTTTTTGTTTGTTTTTTTAAGGAACCGATTAGGACATTTTTTCCAATTACAGTCATGGAAACCATCACAATTTTAATTGTAGGTCAGTGTTGCTCCAAATACATCTTTTTTACATTTTTATTCCAGTTTTTTTCCAAATGGTACATCTAAATACATGATTTGATTACCTACCGATTTTTTCTTTTTGTCAAAAGAGCGAAACATGACAGCAAACTGTGGATCTGTTTGACTGAGATTGGGACCCTTCTCCCCTCAGACCATGCTTTCTGTCTCTGAGCGCCTCCAGGAATGAAACTGTTTACTTGGCATTCCCAAATCCTGGACCGAGGCTCAGACCTAATGCACTGAGAAATGTGTCATTAATCATGTTACAGATAACAAATACAGAATATCACTTCACAGAAAAATGAAGAAAGACTTATCCAGAGGGAAAACTATAAATTCTGCTTTGGCTTAAAAAGGAAAAATTAATTAGTATCATTCTCTCACATTTCTCTCGTTGATTTACTGTTTTTATAATCTTTAATTGTTATAAGAAGCATATCATCAGTCATTTTGGCTTCTGAACCACATTTCTTTGGCTACAAGAATCTCTTTTTGATTTACCTACATTTAATAAACCTTTTATATTCTGACACCATCTAGCTTAAGAGTCTGCACAGCATTGGCTGCATTAGTCAAATTCGAATTCTCACTTTAGTTCTTCCCTTCTGGATTCTTCTTTTGCTCAATCAAGTCTCTTCTTTTCCCATGCAAAATAAGTTATTCAGTGCTTTTTACCTTTTTTTCATTGTTGTTTTTTCATGTACATTTATGAAAATCTTTCTTCCTGTTGACGTAAATTGCATGGAAATTATAAGTTTAACACATCATGCAAAGCATATGCTAACACACTTTGACTACTTCTTTCAACATAATGGTTTATTGACATTGAGCGTGTTAAACTTGGAGCAACGCTTTGAATGAGCAGGATGGAGAATCACACAAATGACTGTTGTAGGCTCTTTTTACTTTATTTTTTAAACATTATGCAGCAAAATATCACAAATTGCTCAAACAGAACATGAGCTGTTTTAATGACATAGTCATGATTTAATTATATTAAAAATGTTGAGTTATCTTTTTTCAATCCTACAGAAAATGAATAAAAAAAGCCATTCCTCTCATGCACATCCTTCATTTGCATGATTAAAGACACCAAACTGATCACAAATATGTCACACTGAAAAATAACCAAACTACGAGGCTCGTTCTTGCTCCTTTGTTGTGAATGTGGTGGGATATTATCTCATCAGTGGAGCTGGATAATCCCATTTCACTCAATGGTAATTAAAACAGAAATCAAATTAATTAAAAAAAATAATCAATTAAAGAAAAAAAGTAGATGAATTATTTCAGTAAAAACCAACGCTGTGAGATAACAGTGAACCTTAGAAACTTACCAGGCACTTATTGATATTGAAACTCCTTCAGACACATCACATGCAAATCATGCAAATGTTTTAATCCCAGCAAACAAAGGGGATCTGTGTTTTCTCCCGTCATCTGCCATCTTAAGGAAATCAGTCAGCTCACTTGCTACAGTCTTCGGTGTTTGATTCAGGTGTGTACATTTGCTATGCGTTTTGATTTGAGTCTGCAGCATAGAAAAAATAAAGATCTTCGAGAAACAGACGCTTTTACCAGAAAAGGCTAAAGAGGAAAAGGTGTACCCAGCTTTAAACATCCTGAGACGTCCATATGAACATGTATGTTCTATCCATTGCCAGGTACTTTTGGCAGCTAAACCTAACTTTAAACATTTATCTGTAAACATCAGCAAACCATAACTGTGGATAGTTGGATGATACAGTCTGATGATGACAGGAACTTATCTACAAAGTTACAAGCAGACTGGCCACGCTAACTAAAACTAGAACATTGTTTTCACAATGGCAAAGAAGCATACATGATTTCGTTCCAATTCTCCACGCTTGTTTTGTCCAAACTTCCTCTACTTGTCCTCTTCTGGGTCACGTTTGGCTGACTCCTTGGTGAAAATCTTTCCTTCGGCGTTTTTCTTCCAGTGAAGGCGGACATCTTGCCCACCCAGCTTCTGCTTCATCTGGAGGAAAATAAAGCAACCATGTTGTTTTTTATGAGAGTACAGAGCTGGTCAAACCTATTTCTCTTATTTTTTCTACTTTTCCTGTAATTTGGTACAACCTCTCCCAAGAATTGATGAGTTCAGATTCCAAACTCTATCATTATTATTATTATTGTTATTATTGTTAATATCATTATTATCATTATTATCATTATTATCATTATTATCATTATTATCATTATTAACTTAATTGTAAGTATACAAATATCTGTAGATTCACCTGCTCTAGGATGCTGTTGAGTATGAAAAAGTTATTTGGATCCAAAGTTGCGTCCTTTAGACTGATTCTCATTTTAAAGACCTGCTGTTTTGTTCCTATAAGAGATTTTTTCCAATCATCAGTGCATTGGACGAGCCTCTTTGAAACACATTTCTACATGTATCACAGACACATCGTTTGCTCATACCCATGCAGAGGAATGGATGTGCTTCTGCGCAGTCCAGGTCTCCCCATTTCCCAGATTCCTCCTTCAACAAAGCCACACAGTTTGCAGCTGATGCGGCCCAAACTTCCTGCTTTGCCCTCCAGTACCTCAGCGAAGAGTTAGCCTTATCTGACCACACCCAGGGGTCTCTAAAGATGCCGGTGCTCACTGCAAGTCCCTTTGCCACTTCGCTGACTGTTTGGTACTCGGCGGCATTCCTCAGGCTGGTCAGGTCAGTGTAGTGTTTTCTGCAGAAGTCCCGGGCAGCAGTCCAATTCATTTTACTCGAACTGAGGATGTACTGGTCCACTCCTTTTTTTGTTGCTGCAAAGGATGTTATACACATATGTTCTAATTACACAGTGCTTTGTTCACGCCATGAAATTTGATTTAGATTAAAGCAGTGATGCCTAAAGTCCCCAGATGGCTGCTCAAGCCTTTGGAGATACTGAACAGAGGTTCTGATTTAAGTTAAGCAGCTTTTCCATGAACTGCCACGGCATCCAGTGTAAAATCAAACTTTTTACCACTGGGTGAAAATGTACTTTTTGTCCATAACTCAAGTTAGGATTTGTCCATCTGAGTTTGACACTCATAATGAAACCACCTGGATAGATCCTGCAAGTCCAATCAATGTTTGTGACTATGTAAGAGAAATTCAAGAAAAAGACGGACTCACCATCAAAACAAATGAAACGGTTCTGGAATGGACATTGAAGTTGGTGCAGTTTTCCTTCACTGTAAACTGCACAGTTGTCAACACTTTGGAAACTCCACAATAAATAATCTTTCTCTCCCTCCTTGTACATGTCTTTGTCTGCTAGAGACCAGTGCCACTTTAGAGTCTTTCCTTTATTCAAACCAATCCACACAGCATTATCGTATTTGCCCTCAATATTTTGAAGAAGTTTTTCCATCCCTCTCAAGTAATAAAAGGTGGCCAGGTCGCCGCCTCTCTCTCTGCAGTAGCTCTGTGCTTGCTTCCAGGTTTTGGGTACAAGGAATAAAGAATAATGTGGCTGGGAGGCACACAGAGACAGACAACACAAACCTGTGGGGAAAAAAAGTCTTGAAGGCCAGCAATTAAGACTTTTCAGCCTGACATCAGGCACATTTTCAGGGGAAAAACTGACCTGTCAGCAGAATTAGGTTCATGTAAGTCTCCATGGTTCTGATGGGTTTCATAAAAAAGGAGAAAAAATATCAGGATCCTGAATTCATAAAATGCTTAAGATTTTCTCTGTTTCTTCGATTACAGTTCAGGGATAATATTCTTGATCAATTCTCATAGAAAATAAAGAATTATGTGAATCTCAGCTGCTTTGCTTTAGATTGAACATTGGCTATAAACTCAATCTGCGTCAGAAAACAACTGAAACTAGATATATCTAGATAACTGAAAAAGAAGAGAGAAATATATAGATAAAAATTGTCTCAAAATTTATAACAGTTTTATAAAGACGTTGTTTCTGAATCGCCCTCAAGTGGCATTAAGATTTTTTTCTCAGCAGAGGCTCAAATTGGTGGTAAAATCAGTGATTAAAAAAAGATTAGTTGATTTCACAGGTTGTAGAAGAGGCTTACTTTATATCTGGTGGATGTTTGCCGTGGAAATTTCAGGCTGGTGATGGCTGTCCTCAGCTTTGCGTTCACTTTGCTGTCGTATCCGCGCAGGAGTGGAACTCTCTTAGTCTTTGTCAGCATGCAAAAAAAAATGCAAATAGATATGAATGATCAACTATTGTCTCGACAATAAGGATCCCAGTCTGCAGGCTGTGTGTTTGTTTGCTTTTTCAAACCAAAGGGAAGCTATAATAATGCAAAACTTTATTGTGACACCAACGAGACATTGATGAATAATCCCGTTTTGAACGTCTCACGTTTCATGGTTATGACCCTTTTATGCTGACATATTTGATCATACACAGAGAAACGGCACTCGCTGAAGAAACTCTAAAGGAAATGGCTCCTACACAGCCAAACAGTGATTGAATTTTGATTTCATTTTAATCAATTTCATCTAAATTTTGAAGCTGCTCCATCTTGCACTGGATATATATCAAGTCATAGTCTGTCTAAATATAAACATAGTCTAACTATACAAACAGAAATGTCAGAATCAACATTTTTTTAACTGTTTGCCATCGGAGTTAGGTTTTTTAACAAAACAAGTAACAACTAAATGTTTGTGATTCAAGAGTTGCTGACTGCACAAAGAGGTTTGTGAGTCTATTTTAGGTGACGATTGTTCAGATTACATTAAAGGTTTAAATCACTTAAGGCACAGTACCATACATGTTTTCCAAGTTCCCAAGCTCCAGCACAGTGGATTCAAATGAGTGTGCCTTCATCAGCCTTTTGCAGAGTTTAATGAGCTGTCCCATTCATTTTAATGAGTGTGCTTTGAGCACAAGGGTTGGGAAACACTGGGGTCGGCTAAAATATGGGTGCATCATGGTATGGGCACACTTCTACATCTCAGAGGTCACAAATGTATTTTAACCAATTATAATGTGCAAGAACAAATAATCCAAATTAATTACAATTCTTTCCAGAAAAGAAGATGTGAAACTTTAGCTGTCTTGTTTCTTTTGCTGTGCTCTTGTTATTTCAGGTTGTTTCCAAATGAAAACTTCCGAGGGCTTGGTGTGTCCATGCAAATCTATTTATAGGAATACATAACCTAGTTAGGACAAATGCAAACTCTAGTCTAATTAACCAGCGGGGCGGACCGAAGTCAAAACTAATAAATGAACCAAACCATAACCAACCTAAATGCCTACACTATTTGCTCTTTAGCAGTTTATTGTAAATCGTTCTTTAAAATACGCTTGTCTGTTAATTCCCCATGTCCTTGTAAATTGCTTTGGATCAGAGAATATGCTAAAAGCAAAAATGTAAATAAAGTCAACTTAATCCACTAACCAAATCCTACACTTGGGATGTGTTCTGTTATCTGTAAGTGCCCTCCAGCCCAGTAGAGGGCAGCAGTGCTCCTCCAGCTCACTTTACTTCCCGTCTGGTGCTTTAAACAGCAAAACAGGAGGAGAGAACACTTCCTGAAGCTGAGGTAAACAGATCATAGCTGTGTGCTGTGAGGGGTTTCTGAACAGCTAACACTGTCCGAACTAAAAATAGCTGAATTCAGATGTATTCACTTCAGTGCCATTCCTTTTAGTAGTCTCCACTTGTGTTTGTGACTTTTAGAGTTGGGGTGCAGTCAGAAGCTCACACAGAAAGGAATCAGGTAAGATGCATGTGACACATCAGGCCACCAGCAGCTTGTTGCAGAGTGGGTCTCTTACTGCCTGTTCTCTCTCTGGTTGCAGCTCTGGCTGTGGAAATGAAACAGGAGTACCAGGATCTCCTCCTGCAGGCGTGCGGGGCCTCGTCCCTGCGCGTGGGGGCCACGATCCAGACACTGTGGAGCGGCTACGGCGAGATAGTGCGGTGCCACCTGGAAGGCTGCGGCCGGCCCTCCGTAGTGGTCAAGCACGTCAAGTTTCCGGACGAGGTGGAGCACCCCGGCGGCTGGAACACCGATCGCTCCCACAGGCGTAAGGTCAGGTCCTACCAGGTGGAGACCCACTGGTACCAGAACTACTCCACCGACGGGAGCTGCCGCATCCCGGCCTGCCTGGCCTCCTGTTCCCATGGCGACGAGATGCTGATTGTGTTGGAGGATCTGGATGCGGCGGGCTACGATCAGAGAAGGTATGAAAAACACTCCATCAGAATGCAGATCTAAAGATTCGTATCAAATCCTCATCAAAGAAATACTTGACCATTTTCATAGTTCACTGCATTTATGTTTACAGTAAGAAAAAAAAGATAGTGGATCAGTGTCCTGAGACATAAAACAACTCATGAAAACATCCAAAAACTACTACTAAGTGAATTCATAATAGAATAGATATTTATGAATCCGGCCTTTAAGGACACAATCCGTAACAGAATACATATTAATGAAAGATAAAAATGTCTCTTCTACAGGACCAGAGTCAAAGATATAGAGATACGGGCTTGTCTGAGCTGGCTTGCCCACTTTCATGCTCTCTTCCTGGACGTGCCACTTGAGGGCCTGTGGCCTGTGGGTACCTACTGGCACCTGGACACCCGACCGGATGAGCTAGAAGCCATGGACGACCCCCAACTCAAAGCGGCCGCCGGCGACATCGACAGGATCCTCAGCGGCTGTCGCTTTAAGACCATCGTTCACGGAGATGCCAAGCTAGCCAATTTCTGCTTCTCCCTGAGCGGAGAGGATGTGGCGGCTGTAGACTTTCAGTATGTCGGTGGGGGCTGTGGGATGAAAGATGTCGTATACTTCCTTGGAAGCTGCATAGAGGAAAAGGAGTGTGAAAAGAGGGTACCGGGACTTTTGGACCACTATTTCGCAGAGCTGAAAGGGTCTGTCAAAAAGGACGTGGACTTTGATGCTCTTGAGGAAGAGTGGAGGGAGATGTTCGCCTTTGCATGGACAGATTTTTATCGTTTCCTTCTGGGATGGATGCCAGGACACTGGAAGATCAACCGATACAGCAAACGCCTGGCAAAGGATGTTCTGCACAAATTGAAAGAGAAACCCTGATTTTGATTAGATTTTTTTCAGCATTGGATTTGCTGAATCCATAAATCTGAAACCTGGCAAGGAATCACCCACAAGAAAAACCCAAAGGTCCTTTCATTTACTGTGTCCTGTCAAGCATGCTTTCCAAATGCTTTATGAATGAATAAAGGTTATTCAAAATGATGGAGCACTTCTTTTCTGTGTATGACAGCTATTGGGACTTGGAGGGAAACCTTATTTAAACCCTATTGTTGTGGTTTAAACTTGCAAAACAGCACAAAAGTTATAGGGATCAGTAATTGTCATGAGTTGTGTTATTAAGAAGGTACAAATTACCTTGAACTCCTAATTGAAGTATTTTGCTTTAAAAAAATATATTCTCTTGTCCACAACTAGATAAAAATACAGTAGTTGTTACAATTAGAATATAAATAAATCAAATCTAGATTTTTTTGGGGGGGGTGTTCAAATGGGCATTTTTTTAAACACCTGTTAGCATTCAATCTCACTCACAACAAGCCAAATATATTTCCTTTTGAGTAAGCTAAATGGCCTTCCCGTTGACTGAATATGAAATTCAATAAAGTAGGTTCTAACGCTGTTTTTCGTTACACGGCCGTTGTTTTTCTTTCTTTTTCTTCCTGTAACAGATCTGTTGTGGACACAGTGGTCACGTGATATCCGCTATCGCAGCCGACATTACAACAACAGGGCAGGCTGACTCGAGCTCCGGGCGAGGAGGAGAGACGACGCTGTCAGAAGACAAAAACAGGTTTAAAACTATAGCTGTTTTAGTTGATAACCTGTCTTTAAGTCTCTTTGACCGTGGAATTGGTTGTCACTGCGGTAACAGTTTGCTAGCTCCACGCATAACCGGCTAATCACAGCGGAGCTAGCGTTAGCTAACAAGCTAACCGTGTTTCCCTGGCTTCGTTACAGCTGTGTAAACAAATAACAACCGAGCTGCCCAAGAAACGTTGGTTTCGTGTCTGTGTTTCACACTTTGAGGCTCTAACCAATTGAACTACCGTCGAAAATAGTTACGTGTCCTATTTTGTTAAACATGATCTGGGAAAACTTCAATTTAGCTGGTTGTTTTGGTAGTTTAAAAGAGAAACAACATGGCAGGTGTCAGGAAATGCCAGCCGAAACTCATGGCCCCCACCACCAGTTTATCTTGGAATGGTTGGCAAATATTTTACTTCCTTGTTATCTTTTTTTGTGTGTGTGTGTCCACCTGCCTTTCTAAACTACGAGTCGATGGTTTTTAATATTACTAAAGACTTGACGATGTTTTGAGTTCAGAGGTGGACTTAAATTGAAGTGCCATGTTGAAGAGAATAGAAAATAATCTGTGCCAAAAAGCTGAAAGCATCAAAATTTCACATTTTTACACCTGGTTTGGTGTTTTTATTAACAGAAATATGCTTTATGTTAGAAGCCTCAGGGCTGATTTTTTTAAACATCAATAAAAGTTATAAATATACCCTAAATTCACTATTTGTCATCCACCTTGTGCGATTTCTTCCCTTTTTCTGTCTTTATCGACTATATTTCCCCCCACAGCGCTGATGTAGTTGAGTGAAAAGTGCAGGCAACCAATATGCTTTCAGAAATGGGATGGGGGTTCCCTTTGTTATTTCTGGTTCTTGATTGTTTTTAAAGAATGTTTCTCATACAAGAGCTCATATGTACATTTGGATCTTGTTGATCCGGTTCTGGGGAACATAATTCTATATATAGCACTTTATTGTCTCAGCCAGTCATGCTATTCAGCTCAGTGTTTTAAATTGAAACACTAGTTTGTTTAGCAGATTTCCAGTTCATGCAACATGTCTGTTTTCTTCTATAATTACTCTGAAGCAAGCATTGATTAGATATACAATAAATATCTGCATTTATATCCTCGTGTAGTTATTTCATTTGTGAAACACACTAATTGAAAGTGTCACATAAGATGTATATAGTCTTAAGGTGTATAAACTCCTCTTTCCTTTTTTGAAATGCAGAAATCCAAGACCTGCGTTCCTGATTGAAAGGACATTAGATCTACAGAAGAAGCACATGTTTTAGGGGAGGAGACCCACCCACTCTGTGTAGAGACCATAATGGAGAATATTTAGGGAAAGTTTTTCCTCAGGTGAATCCTGAGCTTGACACAACAGGTTCTTTAGAGCCCTGCCTTTTAGTAATATGAGCCATGGACTCAGGAGCAGTTGATAGTCCTGTGACCCTGGTCATCAAGGCCCCCAACGAGAAGTATGAGGACCACACCATCAGCTGCTTCCTCAACTGGACTGTGGAGAGGCTGAAGAGTCACATCTCTACTGTGTACCCCAGCAAGCCGGTAAATAACTTGTGTTTAATGTCCGATTTGAATACACATTTAAATCCAAGAACACCAGACGGCACTGTTTTTCTAGATGAAAAATCATGACCAGTGTGTATTTAAAACCTACAAAATATATTGTTTTTTTCAATACTGTCATGTAACTGTCCCCAAGGGACAGCAACAAAAGAAAATAGTAAATAAAATCAAAACTAAGATGTATTAATACAACTGTCTTTAGTTTGGCATGGATTATTTTTAGGTGTACAGATACCACAGAAAGCAGGAAAAAGCAAAGATCTTACATGCAGTATTTTATCTGAAATCGTATCCAATCAGACAATTATGATCTGATCCAGTCATCAATCACGTTTACTCAAAGTATTTGTCTAATTTCACAAGCTGAAGTTCTCACGGCTGGACATTGAAAGGACTTTCTGCTCAAGTAGCTTGTACGGTTTCTGTTTAGCTAGCAGTGTTTCCTGTAAACACCGTCATTGATGTTTGGCTTTGGTTCAGCCAGATAAGAGGAAATGAATGTTCCTCCTGCTTTTGTTTTAAAGAAAATACCCGACTGTTGTGTCCCGCCTGGTTTGGTAGAAAAAGCAGAAACTCCTGAAAGCTGTTTGGGACTGTCTGTGCTCAGCTCATGTCTTTGTTTTGCCCTTCTGTTTGCGGCGCAGCGCTCCAAAGACCAGCAGCTGGTGTACTCAGGAAAGCTCCTTCCAGACCACCTGCAGCTCAGAGATGTGCTGAGAAAGGTACCGGCTGCTGTCGTGTCATAGATTTATTTCTGTGTTTCGGCAGGCTGGTTTTTGGGCTCATGAGTTCTCAGCCTAAACAGAGTTTTTCTGTTTCTGTGGCTGTGAAATGCACCAATGGTCCGATGGATAAACTGGTTGTTTTCACAGACGTTTTTGTGAATAATTAGCTGAATATTCAGTTGAATCTTTTTGTGAATAATTTGCGGGGGAACTGAAACAGATTGAGATGGAGACAATAGCTGACCTGATGTGGGTTACCAACAAAGGGGGGGTGTTGTGTTTGAATTCTGGCCTTTTCCACATATATCCTTCCTCTTTCTCTGTTTCTTGCTTTGTCTGTCCCGTCTTCTGCTGCCCTGACCTCTGCTTTGTGCTCTCACCCCCTCCCACCCCCCACTCTGGTTCCCAACTGGCCTTGTCGACCCACAGCAGGATGAATACCACATGATGCATCTAGTTTGTGCCTCCCGCAGTCCCCCAGGCTCGCCAATGCCTCAGAGCGCGTCCACATCTGCTGCCTCTGAGCTCAGGGTGAGTAAACAAGATTTCCCACTTTATTTTTGATGCGTTTTAAATAAAGGTTTCATATGGAGTGGTAAACTGTTCGCCTGTATAGCACAAACTCATCCCTGGATGTCTTTCTGTGCTTCTACAAACTAAATGCTACTGAATATTCTTAGAATTTACTTTTTAGATTGTCAGCTCAAGTTCAGCTGATGTTTCCCATCTCCAGGACAAATGCTGGTTATTTAACGGCTGCTTGTTGGTGACATTTTGTCTCAGAGCTCAAACAACAGTGGGCCCTCCTCCTCTGCGTCCACGCCGAATCCGGACAGTCAGTCTCCCTCTTCCTCCCCCTCCCTCTCCGCTGTCCCAGGAAGTTATGATGGGCTGAGGCACCGCGGCGGCGTCCCCCCTTACAGTGCCTCTGGCGTCCCTCAGAGGTAAGAGGGTCTCCATAGCAACAGTTCAACTCTCTCAACTAAAGACAAAAAAGAAAAAAGGAACAAATGAATGTATAATGAAGTTTGAATACTAGTTACAGGGAAAAATGCTTATCCAAGTCTTACAGAATAAAGTCCTTTGACACTTTGAACATGTGTGTGTTTTAACTGCAGGCCGGATGCAGCACAGCTCCCTGTACAGGGCGGCCTCTCTGCCAACATGCCCCCCTACCCCATGAACATGCCCATGCAGATGCTGTGGTGGCAGCAGATGTACGCGCACCACTACTACATGCAGTAGTAAGTGAGAAAAATCTCCCCCCACGCACCAGCTACACCAGAGAGCAGCGTATTTCGATCCTTTCTCTTCTTCTCTCTTTGTAGTCAAGCAGCCGTGGCTGCGTCTCAGCCCCCCGGCGCCTCTCCCCCCTCCCCCCCCGCCTCCTCGCCCCACCAGCCCGCCCGGCCGAACGAAGCTGTGCCACCGCCGCTGGGGCCCAACGCGGCCCACGACCCCCTGCCGGAGAACCAGCCGGCCAACCCCATCCAGATGAACGCGCAGGGGGGCGCGGTGCTGAACGACGACGAGCTGAACCGCGACTGGCTGGACTGGCTGTACACGGTGTCCCGCGCCGGGGTCCTGCTCAGCATCGTCTACTTCTACTCCTCCTTCAGCCGCTTCGTGATGGTGGTCGGCGCCATGCTGCTCGTCTACCTGTGAGTCAGCGGAGGGGATCTCCAGCTCCCGAACATGTCGCCGAACCGGCCGTTATCAAAAAGTGTCTGCATGTGGTCTGAAAGTACCAGTCTTATCCGGTCCGTTTTAACCCGGAAGGCGTTCATGTTTCCAGGCACCAGGTCGGTTGGTTCCCCTTCAGGCCCGAGCAGCAGAACCTCCGAGGGAGAGGGGGGGCCGGTGCTGCTCAGGACGAGGCCGGCAGACAGCAGGACATACGGGAAATGGTGAGCCGGAGAGCTGTTAACAGCTTCTGTCTTTCACTCATTTCTCTGGAGGGGGGAAACGGCCCCAAAATTGGAAGCGGGTCTGCATTTAGCCTCAGTTGGACACCCATCAGCTGCGTCTAGCTCTCAATCAGATTTGTGATTGGTCAGAACCCTGAAACCTTGTGATGTGCCAGGAACGTCTGATGGACGAAGGCTTGGAGGATGAGGACAGTGGTGAAGAAGGCCCCGGAGGCCCAGAGGACCAGGACCAGGACCAGGCCCCGGCCCCCCCCGAGCCGGGCCTCCTGACCACCGCCTGGTCCTTCATCAGCACCTTCTTCACCTCGCTCATCCCCGAGGGACGGCCCCAGCCCGCCAACTAGGAGGGCGCTCTGCCGCTGGCCTAACCCGCTCACGTCCTGCCAGCAGGTACTTCTCTACAGAGTTTCCAGCCTCCATCTTTACTTTCCCACCTAATTAATTACCAAGGACAGCCTCACACACACGTAGGACCTCCTGCCGGCCGAGCAGGCGCCACGGCAGATGCAGAGCGTCTCTGCAGAGCGCCAGAAAGGCAAAGTGAAATTAAAGATAACACGTGTCGTGCTCGTGGACTAAATGGTTCAGCGGTTAGTTTCTCTTTCATCGACGGCGAATTGACGGGCTGCAGGGAGCCGTCTTCCATTTTAAGGAGCGATGACTTTCGTGTGTGTTTGCAACTTTCTTTTAACGAGTAATGTGAGGCGGATTGAAGACGAAAAGAAAAATATCCCTTAAATTAGAGGGAGTTGTTTCCTTAAACCATCCTCAGAGACATTTTCATGAATGCACACCAACGTGCGTATAGACATCGCAGCTTCTGAAGCACATCGTTTTCCCACTTTGTGTATTTGAACATATCTATTTACATATGTAAGTATATGCATCTTAAATTCCTGAATATATGCTTTTTGAATAAAAACATCTTGCAGCACTTTAACTGTTTTCTGTGGTTTCATGGGTCTGTAGTTCTGCCAGCGTCCTGCAGGTGGCAGCATCTGCTCACTGATCAGCTCATATAGCTTCCTATTTTTGCCCCTTTTTTCCCTCTGGAGTTAGAGAAAAGCCTGGTTTTGAATAAATATTGTTTTATTCATAATATTATCCCATTTTTAAAAAAAATCACAGGTGAAAGATATTTTCGCTTCCATACAAAATGACAGACTTCTTGGCAACAACACGGTGAAATTAGGAAAAGCAGGAACATTCCTCTGACCCTGAATTTAGATTTTAAACCCGTCAAACAATGAAAAACTCAAAAGTTGCTCCGTCGTCATTCTGCTGCGTCAAACATGCATTTATGCATCGGAATTATCTGTAATGTAAGTTTGTTTTCCCGCTTCTTGCTCATTCCTCTGTTAAGTTGTAGGCTGATGAGGTGAGAGCATTTGATTCACTCCCGGACCTAAAATCAGACCACCTCAGACCTGTGCTGCCAGCGGGGAGCTTCAGGACTTCACCATTACGCTGTTGATGCAGATTCATGTTTGACAAGAAATCGCTACGCAAATAGTTTCAGGTTCGGGTTACAGTTCCATAGATCTAAGGCGGCTGCTTGATTTCTGTTATCATTATTTACAAAAGATGTTACGGAAAGACTTCGGTATCTGGAATAATTTTTGATTGTTTCCTAAGCAAGAAGAAGACCCTTCTGCCATCTGCAGGAAGGAAGAAAATCCTTTTGTGGTTTTTGGAGTGAAACACAAAAATGTTCTATTCACTACATCAATCCTTTTTTTTTAATTGCCTTTAATTGTCTATAAAGATGTAGGCTATGTATGAAAGACTCAATCAGATTACAATACAACAGGAAAAAATGATGGAATCCCCACACATCACGTATTTTCATTCATTTATTCATTTTTATATCAATCTTTATATATTCCTAATTTTTTTCTCCACTCAAATTCTTTTGAAAGCGTCACTTAAAAAATGGCCCATTTGCACGTTTACTGGTTCCATGAAGTTTTTCTGTGTTGAGCTTTCACGAAATTTGGGTCATGCAATCGGTTTTGGTAGGAGTTGCTTTGCAGTGACTTCGTTATTGTTGGTGTTTGTTGAGGACGTTGGTGCACTGGAATGAAAAGCAGAGTGCCATAAATCAGCAAGTGTAAACCAAAATGATGAAACCAGAGCAGACCTGCCGCAGAACCTGTAGAACAAACGCAAGTTATTCGTAGGACAAATTCAAGGAAGTACCATTCGTTTTATTTAGTCGTAATATTTTGATGGTAAAGGAGTCTGTTTTTACTTTGTGTGCAAAACAAAACCTATGATATTGACCTGGTCTGTTAGTTTTTTTGACAGCATCTGTCCCAAAGAATTCCTTAAAAGTACCCCAAAAGATTCTGCTCCTGTCTGGGAGGAGTGAGCCAGAGTATACTTGGTAAAAAGATCCCGCTGATTCGAGCCACAAACTGTGAAAATGACAGTGAAAACGTTTTAAAAGGGGGATCGACAGGCTTGTGGTTGCGGTGGTTTTATCCCTGACTTAGCCCAAGTCGATAGTTTTCAGACACGTGTCGTTTATCACTGCCCGTGGTCCTTTTCCCTGCCCACGTCACGGGTCCGGTGAGTGATGGGAGCTGGTTTATGCGGGCTGCAGGTTCTCTGAGCATCTCTGTGCCTCATCCTTTTGACCTGTGCCTTTAAAAAAGACACAAAAAACAACCAAACTGCTGAGCAAAACCTCAGACCGGCGTCCATCTCTCTCAAGACATGTCTTCCATTAAAGCCTCCCTCCGAAAGGCCCCTGAGATTGGGGCCTTTCGGGCCTAAACTCGGGCTGACGTCTCTCTGACACCGTCCTCAGACAGCCGTGCACTTCAGAGTCCTCCCGAACCCCCTAATCCAATGATCATGGATTTTTT